TCCGAAGAGGGTCAGTGATGTTGAACAGATCGAGAATGCTGTCCACAATTCCAGAAAGCGTGAACATGGCGTTCTGCTGTTCTGGTTGCAAAACTGGGACATCTGGGGTTTTAGATGTTCCCGGAAGCCCCGGAAATTCTTTGTCATAATCGACAGGCTTAAAACCCGGTGGATTGGGTTTCGGTTTATTTCCGTGACCTCTTGATTTATCCAAGTGGGCTTGGGAGTCAGTTTTTTTAGTTTTCTGCGAGTCATTCTTGGATCGCTTCCTTGAAGGACCTTTGAAAACAAAAGGACTTCCGTCATTGCCCTCTGAGTCAGTGTCGTCCTCGTCAACTGGGAGAAGATTGAACGGATTATTGTTTTCTTTTTCCGGAGTGATTTTGGGAGGAGGATTGAAAGTCTTCAAGATCTCCGCAAAGGAACGCTGAGAGCGCGCCTTCAGAGACCGTTCAAGTTTTTTTCCTTGCTGTTTATACTTCGGGCAATCTGCGAGAGGATGCGGAGGTGCCAAACAATAAACACATTTAGGAGGAGCACCACAAGCACCCTCCGCATGCTTCTCGCCGCACTGATCGCATCGTGGCTTGTTGCCGCAGAAGGCGGCGGTGTGGCCTAATTGTTTGCACTTGGTGCAGTTCATCACCCTTGGTATAAACAACCGCACAGGAAGTCGAACCCTCCCAATTCGGACGTAATCTGGCAGAGTCGATCCGGAGAAAGTCACTCGAAACGAGTCAGTCAGCGAATAGATTTTTTTTGTCCCGTCGAGGGATGCTGACTGCATTTGGGTGCAGTCAAGAATCTTGACTTCTGGAAGAACGGGGTTCTTGAAGACACCAACCCCCCTCTTCAAGAAGTCATCGCAGGTCAAACTCGCTTCGGTGACCACTCCTTCGATTTCCACGTCACGACTGGGAATGTAAACGCGGTACTCTAACGTAAAAAGCTCGCAGGCAACAATCTCATTCGCCTGCTTGCGGTTACCAACAGTGACGCGCAGTTTGTCTGGCCTCACCTTCAAAATGTCGGTCACTGACGAGAAACGTTTGAATAGATCTTTTTCGATCTGGTTAACGTTAAGCGGTTTTTGTTTGGGTCGGAAAAAAACAACCCATGGGCCTGTCGAGGCGTCTGGGTATGACTTATGGCGGGGGGCAGTTTTTGTTTTCTTGGCGGGGTTAGGCGGAGTAGGGGGAGACGGTTTTGGCGGTGTGGGGGGAGAGGGATTAGGTGGGGTAGGGGGAAACGGGTTTGGTGCGGGGGGTGACGGTGCTGGTGGTGTTGGTGGCGATGGATTAGGCGGGGTAGGAGGAGATGGGGTAGGCGGTACGGGCTCCGGTGCTCGTTTTCGCCTGGGCCGCTTCGGGATGGTTCCGGTGTACTTCTGCACCGTGGCTGACGTTTCCACGTCGGACAGTTCGTCTTCAGTGGGAAGGGCAGGAAGGGTATTCCCCCCGCCATCACTATTACCATCCATTGCGGGGCAACTGCCACCGCAATAGATACAAAACAACTACACACAGGGAACACACAGGGACAAGAGAAAAAAGAAGAAGAAGAAGAAGAAAATATTTGCGTGGGATGGGAGAAAGGGGAAACTAAAACAAAGGGGCAATAAATAAAACTTATTCGCTACTTAACTACACCGGCACAAAGCGTGTGTGTGGAAACGCTGCTATCACGTGGTGTGTTGGTGTTGGTCCACGCTGCTATCCGGTGGTGATGGTTGGTGTTGGTGGGTCAGCAAGCTGGTGATACGACACGCTTCACTATCACTTGCACACCCTCGCGACGGCGTGAAAAAATGATGGACTTGACGACGCCGTTAACTCCGGTGATGGATTACCGGGATGAATTAAAGCTGGATGGTAACTCCAAGGGGCTCGGCCGATGAAATTCCACTTCCTCTGTTGGACACTGGTCACTTGGGGCACCCAATGGGGGGTGAAAAAAACCGCTCGGGCGAAAAAAACACCGAAAAAAACTAGATGCCGCGCAACTGAAACCGGGACGTTGTTAACCGACTGAATGCTCAACTAGGAATGGGAGTCGCGGAAATGATTCGCTTCGGAGTTATTAATTTTGATCCGCTAGATTGCATTTCTGCCCCAGTGTGCACCAGAAGATTCCTGCAACTTCTCCTGAAAGTTTATTCGGGCTTTCTCTAGAAGTGCTTCTGATTTCCTCATGCAGACATCATCTGAGAGTTTATTTTTCTAGACTTGCTCTGAAAGTTTCTTCTGAATGACACCGTACGATTTTTCCTGAAAGCTACCTCGGAGTTCCCCAAGAAAACTTGCTGATTATTCCAGGAAGTATCTGATGACTTCTTCTGGAACTTCTCTAAACGTTTCTTTCAACTTGCCCCGTAAATTTCTTATAAAATTTCCTTGATGTTTATCCCGACAATGTAGGCTTCCCGGGAGCTTTTTTCTGACTTCTCTAGAAGTTCTTGCTAACCTCTCTAAAAAGTTTCCATCAATTTCCACTGGAAATTTCTCTAAATTTATTGATAATTCTACAAAAAGTTAATTTCCTGGTAATGGATTCCTGGTCGATATGGGCTTTCATTAGTGAAAATGTTTATATTTTCATTTATTTTAGCTGTTTCCCAGGAAACCGAACAAGCCAGGGCTGTCATGGTAAATTGAGAGCTAGTTACACACTGAATTTTCATTTGACCACCCTCGACCACCATAAATTAATACGCTCTTTCTCCGAAGAGTCCATAATTGCACTGGAGAAACATATAATAGACTGCTGTAATTGTAATCAACTCGCCATAAAGCTTAAAAATACTTACATGGAAGAGAGTCATTCATACAATCCAATCAATTCGTTATGTTAGCTATCGACCAGGCATGGAAAATCATTTACATTTAACTTTTTCCATCAACAGAATTCCGCAAAATGATGTACGCAGCTTTTGTAGGTTTTGTTAGTAGCTACAACTTTTGTTAACAACTCAAATCCGTATATCTTATGCATGACGAACCAGAACGAACAGAAGCCACAGACAAACAGAAGTGTTTTTCAGTAAATGTAAATGTACATTCACTGAAAAACAGTAGCAAGGTCTGCCCGCTCTAATTCGTGATGCAAAAGAGATACAGATTTGAGTTATAGACAAAAGTTGTAGCTAATAACAAAACCTACTAAAGCTCTATGCATCATTTTTTAGAATGCTGTTGATGAAAAAAGTTAGAGGCAAATGAATACATTGCATGAAATGAATGTAAATGATTTGCCATGCCTGCTATCGACGTAAAAAAAATCATAAACCTGATGTGAATCCTAATCCTAACCTTGATAAGCCAAACCCTTAACCACTTAATCACTGTTCTATTCTGACATGGTTGTTTAGCCAGCTCGATTATTCTTAAACCAAACCTCTAATGCGACACATCAAATCGTATACCAATTGGTGACAATTTTCCTTAAAATTATCGACACTTCTGTAGAGTTCCCAAAATCTTCCAAATGTTTATTTATCGGGCTTATAGATCCCGTAGTTTTCCTGAGATTCTAGGAACTTCTCCGAACTTCACGTAGCTTCTGTAAAGATTTTTAAGCATTTGTTAATTTGTATCGACTTTTTGAAGCTCTCCAAATTTCCCTGAAATTCGTTCAACTTCCATGCAGAATTTCTTAAAAGTTACCACAATTTTCATGAGCTTAATAGAACTGTCTTGAAGTTCTTTGATTTTCCCTGAAGTATGCTAACGGAAATTTCTTTAAAATCTCCAAACTTTTTTGAACTTTTTTGGATTTTTCTGAAGTTTTAAAAATTTACTTGATATTCTTGGAACTTCTCATAGGTTGCCACAATTTTCCTAATATTCATGAATCTTCTCTAGCGCTTCCAAAAAATTTCTGGAGTGCTCGAAATTTTTCTGTAGTTGCCAGAATTTAATGGAAATCTTGGAACTTTTTCGAAGTACACTAAACTTCCCTTAAGTTTTCAATTTTTTCTGAAGTTTTCTTTGGAGTTCTTTGGACTTCTCTACGGTCTAATTTTCCTGAAATTTGTAATCCAAATAATTTTCGCTGAAGCTCTATTTTTTTTTCCTTGATTCGGTTTCCGTCGATCTTGTTTTCCATGCTGAGCACCAATGCTGCCAACGCCAGGGAGGCCGCTCCCACACCTGGACCCTACCTATCAGCCCATCAACTCATGAACCGGGGACCAACAACTTTACTTCCCTACTTCCCTTGCGAAGGAAGGCGTGATAGGAGATGTTATGCTTCAGAGCATCCCGGCGGCGCTGACCGGGATTGAATCCAGGCCTGCTGGGGTGAGAGGTAATCACGCTTACAACTACTAGAAATGTCATGGAAATTCATGGAATTGCCCTGAATTTATAGGAACAAATTCTTCGAGATCTTTAAACTATCCGGAAAGAATCGACTTTCAAATCAAATTGGAGCTTCCCTGAAGTTATTGTATCTACGCTAAAGATATAAACTTTCTTCTCTTCATTATTTAAAACCTCTAAACTTTCCTGACCAAAAATGTTTGCAACCTGCCTAGTGTCCCGGCAATTATCCTGGAATTTATTAAACTTTCCAGAAGATCATGGAATTTTCCAGTTTTCGGGAGCAAGAAATATCAAATATACTAGATCAATTCAACGACAAACTGTGAGCATACTATCTGCAAGTCAACTGTCCCAAGCGGCGACGGTGGTGTAGTGGTAACCGTGATTACCTCTCACCCCAGCAGGCCTGAGTCCAATCCTAGTCGGTGCCGCTGGGATGTTCTGAGGCATAACATCTTTGATCACGTCTTCCTTCGGAAGGGAAGTACAGCCGTTGATTCCCGGTTCATGAGTTGATGTGATGGGTCGATAGGTAGGGTCCAGGTGTGGCAGCTGCCTTCCTGGCGTCGGTAGAATTGGTACTCAGCACGGAAAATAAATCAAGCTAACTATCCTGGCCGCTGACAGCTTCACAAAAATGAATCAGGCCCAAAACCTCAATGAAATGACGAAACTTACTTGCATAATCGTTTTCCTGATTCAGTCCAAAGCATGACGGTTTCTGACCCGTCCATTCCGATCGGACACACGTTCGTACGCTGGTGCCAATCATAGCATATTTTCCAATGTCGATACATCTGGAATGAAACCAAAAAAATATATAAAACACAAAAGTAAAAACCAACATTCAATTATCATTCCCGTGACTGAAATTATACCCGTTATAGAAAATTTCGAATGAAACATTTCCCCAAAGTAATACAAATTATCCCTAATTGGGCGCCACCAAACTATACGTACCTAACTGATATCAAAAGAACAAAAGAAAATTACCTCACTCGTTGGAACAGGAGAAAAAAACATTCCCGTACAAACAATTGCAAACAAGTCCGGAAGGTAACGGCGCCGGTGGTGTAGTGGTAAGCGTGATTATCTCTCACCCCAGCAGGCCTGGGTTCAATCCCAGTCGGCACCGCCGGGATGTTCTGAGGCATAACATCTCTGATCACGCCTTCTTTCGGATGGGAAGTAAAGCCGTTGGTCCCCGGTTCATGAGTTGATGGGTCGATAGGTAGGGTCCAGGTGTGGGAGCTGCCTTCCTGGCACGTCGGTAGCATTGGTGCTCAGCACGGAAAACAAGATCGACGGAAAAAACAAACCAAAGGAAAAAAAGAGTCCGGAAGGAAGGTAGTAAAAAGGTAAATGTGTCTTTTTTTCAAGAAATGCCCCCTAAGCCATTTAAAATCATCAAATTAGTCTAATCCTGTATCCGGATGCGCACCTCAGATTTATTAATCTGTTGATGATTGTTTTTTTTTAATAATCAAATGCTACATGCTTTGAGAAGGTTCTTTTAAATCATCTCATATGCATGTTCTAGCAGAAGCGTCTTATACTAACGAGCATTTAACTGTTTTGTTTACCCATAACCCGTAAATACGAAATTAAAACACCGTAACCTGAGTAGTAGCTATGCACCAAAATACAGTGTTCGACTATTTCAGTGTTTTTTAAAGGTTTAGGAAGCTTTTCAGCGTTCCAAAGGCACAATTACATACCTACCGTTCGCCATTACCGGTAAATTTCAATCGAAAGGAAAGTGGTGGCTCATGGATGACGCCTCGTACAACAAAGAGACAAAAGGAGAAAGGGTGGGTCAACTTTACAACACGGTCTGCGATAAAGTTTTCCCAATCCAAGTATCATGTTTGATCAATATTGACCAACTTTTGAACTTTTGGCATGAATAGTTTCCAATACACACTTAATTTTTTCGCCGAGATTCCAACAGCCGACTGATTCTGCAATTTATTTTGCTGAGATTCAGTAAAACAATTGCCGAGACTCAGCTAACAAATAACATTTTGCTGAGATATCAGCTAACAAACAGATATTTCTCAGAGATATCAGGAAAAGTAAATGCCAAGGTAATCGGCTGTTGGAGATTTTACCGAGCTAGATTAAATGTGTACACATCAAATGGCACAGTTGTGGGGACCTCAATACAAATCTAAATACCACTGGGGAGCAGGCAGTTTTGATCCACCATACAAACTTAACCCACCCTAATGTACATCTTCAGTGAATGGTAACGATTGATAAGCGGAAGTGGTTTATTTGTGGGGAATGGGCATGCCACGGCAACTGATAGCGAACTCAAACGAGGGATGGAAAGAGGAAAATTTCTTCTCGGTGGCTGTGACTGGATAGTGGGTTAGGCGTAGGTAAATTGTGTACTTTTATTTGTTGTTTGTTTTCCAATGCGTGATGATGATTCTCTGCTTGTTTTCGGAACGTGGAAGACGTACAAAGACCAAAAATAGTTGTCCTATTATGAAAACTAAGATCAGTGCTGGTATCAGTACTGGTTTACTATAGTACATTTGAAAATTAAACATTTTTCACCATTTCATTATCGACCCATCAACTCATGAACCGGAGACCAACGGCTTTACTTCCCTTCCGAAGGAAGGCGTGATCAGAGATGTTATGCCTCAGAAAATCCCGGCGGCGCCTACTGGGGTTGAACCCAGGCCTTTTGGGGTGAGAGGTAATCACTCTTAGCACTACACCAGCGACACCGCTGTAAGCCCAGTTTCGACGATTTCGATAAGTTTGTGATTATACACGACAAAATTGCGCAAAGGCACTAGAACTCGTCCACTTTGTCACCCGCTTTATTGCAAAGTTGTCTGGACAAGGAAATTCATGTTATTCTACCGTATGCGTGATAATGTTTGCACCATCGTACAAATAAGGTTCCCGTTTCACCAGTGCATACAATGCCTTTGTTTACTTTGCATGCACGTAACCTATAGCTCATACCGTAGTAGGCTGTGCATAAAAGAAAATGATTTACTTAGTTTGACAGTTGCAAGACAAAAAGACATTTCGATCGGCGTGGGAGTGTACCGGTGGACCGTCAAAAGGGTTTTAGACCGAGAAAAGAAAGGACAACTATCCGTGAAGGTGGCCACAGGTCGTCCGAGGTCAGCTCTGTTTCCGAGGGTTATCGCTGCTATCAAAAGGAAGATTTGAGTGAATACAGTGCGTTCAATAAGGAAAATGGCAAAGGAATACGGGAGCAGTGACTTTACGGCACGGAAGATCGTAAAGGAAGATTGCTAGGTGAAGTCGAGGGCAGGGAAAAAAAACTCACATGATTACCAACCGCATCCGGAAGCTACGAGTCGAACGATGCAAGAAAATCTTGAACTTCCTTAAGTGAAAAAAATCCGGTAATCCTGTTTACCGACGAGAGCATGTTTACCGTAGATCCCGTATCAAATTCCAGAACTGACCGGTACATTAGTTCTCATCCGGTAAAAGACGTGGCCGACGAGCACAAGAACGTGTATCTGACCAAGCATCCTGCTAGCGTTATGGTGTTTGGATTGGTGGCTTCCGATGGCAAAAAAATTGACCCGGTGTTCATTCCAGAAGGCGACAAGGTCAACACGGAGGTCTTCATCGGGATTTTAAGTAAGTATGTTCTTCCGTGGATCAAAGAACAGTACGGTCCGAAGCCAAATGTTGTATGTCAACAAGATTAGGTTCCGTGCCACATCTCGAACAGCACTTAGAATTGGTTGCAGGAACATCTTCCGTTCTGGGCGAAGGATATGTGGCCGCAATCCAGCCCCGATCTTAATCTGCTGGATTACTCAATATGGCGCGTCATTAAGGCCAAGGCCTGTTCTAAACGCCACCCGAGTACAGCAAGCCTCAGACAAACATTGACCCGTACCTGGAGAGAAATGGATCCAAACTACATTAATTCCTCCGATGCCTTCATTGACTTTTTAAAAAGTCAAAATGAAGACATCGCAATTAATGATGTAAAAGTAGTTAACATGGTCGAAAATCCACGCTTCAGTCGAAGTCGATATCGAGACGTATAAATGTTTGTTATGTGCGAACAAAGTAAATGTAGGGTTTGATCGGTGCTCGATAGTTCCCGCGATTAATGTTTTGCGATGCTTCAGATGTGGAGAATTTGGGCACATTTATAAAAAGCTATATGATCAGAAAAAAACAGCTTACATTTCAATAAATAGCAACCAAGTTCCTGTAGTAATGTGATTAACTTAGATATTTTGTATTTGAATAACAACATTACGTCAGATTGTAGAAGAAAATCGTTCACTTATGGTTTTGTTAGCAGAAACACATATTGTAGAAATTGAATCTTTTGATCAGTATAGCAATAAGCTGCTGCTTATTTGTCACAATCGAGGCACACTGGCGGTGTTGCTATTTATGTTAAAAAGGTTCTTAGACATTACAGTTGAACGTGGCATGAAGATGGGTAATTATGGTGTTTTGTATCATTCTCCCAGTTCAAGTAATCAGCGTTTTATTGAAATTTTAGAGAACTGGCTCGAGACATTTTTAGATTCTAGTAAATTAAATATACTTGCGGGTGATTTTAACATTAATTGGCATGATACTAGCAATTCGAATCATCTGAAGCAATTAGCTGATTTCTTTAATTTAAAACAATTAGTAAGTGAATATACGCGTATTTCCCGGCACAGTAGAACTTTGATTGACCATGTTTATTCTAATTTTGATTCTGTCTTTCAAGCTGATTTGAAAATAACCGATCATGAAACTTTAGTAATTAATGTCTTAGACCATGTTAACGATAACGATAATTTTGTAAAATTGAAGTGCTGGAGGAAATATTCGGAGCAAGCTGTTTCGAATCTTGTTGAGAGAAGCGTGGATTTTCCAATAGTTACCGGAACTTTAGATGAAGATGCAGCTGTTCTTACTAACGTTTTGAAAACTTGTACCAATAAATTAGTTGAACAAAAGTTTGTTTCTTTGAAAAACTCGAACAGCTGGTACAATTTGGATCTTTTGCGTCTTAAACGTAAGAGGGACAAATGGTACAAAAAGTTTTGTAGATCTAATAGTGATAATCATTTGAATAGGTACACGGTCGCGCGTAATAAATATTCACAATCGATAAAGAAAACTCGATGTGAATATATTCAGAGGAAAATTGATCAGCATCAAAACAACAGCAAAGAGTTATGGTAAATTTTGAAATCTTTATCAAAACCTAGTAATTGTAAATTGCGGACTATAACTTTTGATGGCATATTAGAACAGTCAGAACCAGTTATTGCTTTTAAGTTTAATGACTATTTCGTCGAGAGCGTTTCACTGATCAATCAATCTATTGAACTGATCAATGAACCGGACGAAATAAAACAGCCTATTAATAGTAACTGTAGATTTGATGGTTTTCACCCAATTACATTAGATGATGATGGTGATGATGATGATGGTTCCACCTCTTACCCCTACAAAGGTTTGAGCTGGACGAGTTATCTTTAAGATAATTAAATATAAACATTTTAACCAGGTTTGCAAACAAAATCGAGTTGGTTACAATTACAGATATAAATGTCCTGTTAAATATGTTATAGGCATCAACCAAAAACATTCAAAGGTGTAACTAGTTATCAAAAGTCCAAGTATAGTCCTCGACAATACTTCCATTTACACGTGACCTGGGATTTACACGTTTAAGCTTCCGCAGTGCCAGGACTATATCCAAGGAAACGACTTCCAGCCAACCCTTTACTAATTCAAGGCTTTTGCCACAATTTCCACGTATTAGTCATTTATACCTGTATTCCGCGCGCGAGGCTCAAACCATCGTAGACTACTCAAAGCTATTTTTACTATTACTACTACAAAATCAAAAAACTAAAAATCCATCATCACCATCGAGGCAAACAATGTAGTTTTTTGTATATGCTACAATATGAATATGAACTTAAAAATATTTGCTTTTCATTAGAAAAAAAAACGGCTGGAGTAGATAATGTTAATGGTAGAGTTATTCAAGATTGCTTTAATGTCATTCGACACACTCTGCGGGACCTTAATAATCAATCATTGCAATCTGGGCACGTGCCGCTGTTTGTTGATACCGGAACTATCGGGATACCGGGAAGGTCATTCTTGTGAAACCACGTTAAACTTAGTGTTAGCTAAATGGAAAGAAAATTTGGAGCATAAAGATACGATCTAGGATACGATTTTTGCTGTGTTTTTTGATCTAAAACGCGCTTTTGAGACAATTTCTAGGCCCTTATTGTTGAGAACAATCAAGCGCTTTGGAATTTCGGGTTCTGCATACAAATGGTTTGAAAGCTATTTATCTGACAGAACACAAAGGACTGTTTTTAATGATTTTGTATCTTGTCCCGTTGACAATGACCTTGGAGTGCCTCAGGGAAGTGTATTAGGGCCCCTTTCATTTATTATGTATATTAATGACATGCGACGAGTTTTACGATTTTGTGATATTAATCTTTTTACTGACAATACTGTGTTATTCATTGCAGCTAAAGATTTAGAAGAAGCCGTTTTACGCTTGAATGAAGATTTGCGTTCTCTAAGTAGATGGTTGAAGTGTGAGCAGTTAAAATTGAATATAAGTAAAACTAAAGTCATGGTAATTTCGCGGAATCGTGTAGATGATGATGTCTCTGTTGTTATTGATGATGAGACAATTAATCGCGTTAAGGAAATTAAATATCTTGACGTGATTATTGATGACAAACTCAAGTTCAATTCTCATATTGACAATGTCATCAAGAAAATTGCCAAGAAGTATGGAATTCTATGTCGCTTGAAAAACGGTTTAACTATTGGTAGTAAAATACAGCTATACAAATCAATCATCTCCCCTCATCTAGACTTTTGCCCTTCCATTTTATTTTTGGCCAATGAAACACACTTTCAAAATAACAAAAAAGTCATGTTTTTTTAAGTTTTAATAATTTTATTTGGCAAATCATATTTGTATTTGTATTTCAAATGATATTTTACTCTCGTTTAATCAACATATTTAATCATAGCCAAGACTCCTTACTTTTCCTTGAACATGACCCATTAGCTTCTGCACAGTGGTACTTCTCACCATTTTGACCACTTTTGGCCAATCTTTTTTGAATTTTTGGATGTCGTCCGCTGGTTTTATTAATTTTCAAAGCTTTGCTTCGGTTAAAGCCCGAAAAGTCTCGATTGGCCATGCCTCCGGGCAGTTCGGCGGATTCATGTCTTTCAGCACGAAACATACATTTTGACTTTTGTACCATTCTAAAGTGTCCTTTGCGTAATGACATGACGCCAAATCAGGCCAAAATACTACTTGACCTTCGTGCTGCCTGATCATCGGCAACAATTGCTTCTGGAGACATTCCTTAACGTATTTCTGAGTGTTCATCGTCTCCGTTGTGATGTACGGACTAGATGTTTTACCACACTCGCATATTGCCTGCCAAACCATAACCTTCTTACCGAATTTTTCGATAAAAATTGTCTTCTCCATTTTGGGGATGTCCTTGCCTTCGCTTACAGTATAGAATTGTGGTCCGGGAAGCGTTTTGTAATCTAGTTTCATGTACGTTTCGTCGTCCATTATTATACACCCAGAATTTCGACACAATAACGAATCGTAGAGTTTGCGGGCCCGTGGTTTCACGGACACGGCCTGTTTTGGGTTCCTTTTAGTTTTATTCTGCTTCCGGTATGTTTTTAGCCTAAGTCTTTCTTTGGCACGCACGACGTTACTCGACGAGGTCCCTAGTTTTTTCGCAACATCCCGAACGGAAGTCGATGGTTTTCGTTTGTAGGCATCCCTGATCTTTTTATCGATATCCGGACTTACAGGACCGGATTTCCGGCCACTCTTCGGCGCATCTTCAAACGTACACTGTTCTCTATATTTTTTAATCGCAGTTTGTACCGCTTCGACGCTTACACCCTCTTCCTTGGCCAATTTTCTCAAGGAGAGTCCGCTCACAGTGCACCATTTGTGCACGATACTTTTTCGTTGTTCCGGAGTAAGACCACGCATTTTGACAGGAAACACAAAACTGAGCACTTTTTTGATGCTATGTCATTCAGAAATGAGCAAACAAAAGGACGCAGCCAAAACATGTTGAAATATTTCATTATATTCAAAGTGATCGTTAAAATAAGGTGTGCTTATACTTTCTGGAACAGTCATTAGATTCACTTCCTCAACTTTTATGCTGGACGCTTTGCAATGGCTGTCAGTGAAGCAAAGAATTGTGTTTTTGACTATGGTGTTCATTTTTAAAGTAGTTAACGGTTTGCTGCCTCGATATTTGTGTGATCGGATTGAAAGAGGAAGTGATTTTCATAGAAATAACACTAGAAACGCGGATGAACTAAGAACACCACATCTTTTGAATAATGCTTCACAAAATTCATTATTTTTCAAAGGTATAAATGTTTTCAATTCGATGCCTAGACACATCAAGCGTGCAACTACACTTACAGAATTTAAGAGACGCTGCATTTCACATATAAAAGCTGTTTATTGAGCAGTTAATTTTTTATGAATGGATAAATCATGTATCTTGACAAAGTTATCTCTAACGGATTATTTTGAATGGAGACTGTCATAAAGACATTTTAGTAATTTGTGTAGCACATACAAAAAACTATATTCGATGGTGATGATGGATTTTTAGTTTTTTGATTTTGTAGTAGTAATAGTAAGAATAGCTTTGAGTAGTCTACAATGGTTTGAGCCTCGCGCGCGGAATACAGGTATAAATGACTAATACGTGGAAATTGTGGCAAAAGCCTTGAATTAGTAAAGGGTTGGTTGGAAGTCGTTTCCTTGGATATAGTCTTGGCAATACGGAAGCTTAAACGTGTAAATCCCAGGTCACGTGTAAATGGAAGTATTGTCGAGGACTATACTTGGACTCTTCAAGAGAAGAGGGTGGTGAACTTGATCTAGAATACTATTACACTAATAAATTTCGAGCGTATCCATTAAAGGTGCTCAATAGCCCAAAAGCAGCTCCCAAATGAATTATATGACTGACGGTGTCAGTTTGAAAGCTAAGCTACCTCAGCGACCTCTTCTGCGCTCGCTAATGTAAAGCATCATATTATTCTCCAGGAGTGTATAATGGTATCCTGCTACAGTAAAATAATGCTTGCTAATGAAAGAATCCGTATTAAAAGGAGCAATATTGGTTCAATATTGAAAAGTGTATCGGTAAAGTAAATAAGGTTCTACATAAAACTAAAAACAAACTGCCCAGAAACGTTCAACACTAATTTGTATTAAACTTTACATATGCAGATATGTAAAATTGTATTAACATAATCCCACTGTGCAGCGCAAAGAGGCGGATGAAGACACACGATGCAAGCGAACACTCGTTATATTGTTTGATCAGTTCAAATAAAAACTTACTCCAGTGCAGACGTTCAACTCCGTTGGCTGTGCGGTGGCTCAAAACAAGAGAACACTTCTCATCAATTTACCACTGCCTCTTCGTGCTCTTTCGAAGCGGGAAAATTCCTCGATACAGCGACCTACCAACCTCCGGAAAACCAAATGGAAGAAGTCAATGAAAAGTTGAAGAATTTTTTAATTAATTCCAATTCGAGTGGTGTCGAGTTGAATTGTTTGCCCTCGTTCCGTAGACACCAGCAGAAGCTGCAACGTGATTATCTCCGCTATAGCGGAACTCGAAAGTATCAGCTCATCCTCGCATTCCTAATTTGTGCAATCGGAAAACATTATTTCAGCGAGTTGTTTGCAAATGAAGATGTAAATGAGCCACTTGAGTTAAATTCCCACTGCTGAATTTAAATTTCTACCCTCTATCGTATTTTGCATGATTTGGCGCGCGAGTGCAGTGCATCCTTGGAATACCGCAGCAGCTGCAGAAGTCATTCAGACCGCCGGAAAGTTGCGACTTTTGCAGAAATGTGCGGAATGTACCTCGACTTGCAAATGTGAGCCCGGATGAATTTGAGCGAAACTATGCTTACGGTGGTGGACCGGTCATTGTCACCGATGCAACCATCAACTGGACCGCCACGGAGTATTTCGATTACTGGTTTTTCAAGAAAATCTACCAAACATATGGTAAAAGAAAGAAAGCTGCCAAGTGTCAATTTTTCCCCTACCAGACGGGCTTTCGGAACATTTACGAAGCGCTGAGTTTGAGCGACGCACGCGTTAACTACGAACCGGGAACGGAACCGTGGTACTTTGGGTGGAGTAACTGTGATCCGGAAATCCTAAAAATCTTAAGACAACACTATGGACGGCCGTATTTTCTACCGAAGGCATCCGAGAACAACGCGGTCGATTGGGTGTTTATGGGTGGCACTGGACTGGGAGCACACATGCACGTAAGTGACGCAATACCGATGGATGATGAGTCTTGTTTCCCACCATATGTTGCATACCAGAGTCAAAGTTACATGGCCATACATGGCAACAATGTGTATAATATTGAATTCAGCATTGATCAAAGTGAATCACTGGTAGAGAAAATTAAAAAAAAAATACGAATCCACTATCCGATATATTAAGGGATCATTTATAAATTACATATGCATTTAGAGGGAGAGGGAGCGTTTGAAATTTTCTTGCGTGTTCTTACATGGGAGGAGGGTTTTGGAAATAACAACAAAACAGATCGAATACGGAACATATAAATATTCGATGTAATATTTTACTAAGGGCGGGAGGGGGTTTGAAATATAAAAAAAACTGCAAATGAAATTATTTAACGTTCCCTAAGGACAGTTTTTATGATAAACGGAGCACAGCAAATGAAAATGTCAATGGGAATATGCTTTCGGGTTGATTGGATTGATTTTTTGCTCAAACTATAGTACGTTACGATTGATGTAGCACCCGTAAAAACGATGGTAATATTGAACCGTAATGCTCCACAGTCCAGTCGGTCTGGTAATGTGTGAATATTCTGAACGATGACGTCGGATGACATGATAGGCATTGATAATCATCTTTAAAAAGTGTCTGGATTTCGGTACGGTGTACATTGGCAAAAAATGGGAGAAGAGCAAAAATTTGAAATAAATCGATTGATTCATGATGCGCCACAGTACACATTAAGGTATGAATCAATTGTGCATTGCACGTGAAAATTTAACCGTTTTTGGCAGATCTGAGAGCTCATCACCCATATTCTTGCTTTCGTTCGAACTGTATTTTCCATAAAAAACATGTTTTGTATCGAATTACGTTTCGAACCAAAACAAAAATATGGGTACATGTTTTACATTGAAATCAATTGACGTTGTCGTCGGTAATGATCGAAGTTTCTGCCTAGCGACTTTTCCACGAAATTAATTTCTTTGACATTTCATGAATGGACGCAATCCAAAGGTATTCTGCAGAGATCTTCTAGGGAGTTCTGGAAAGTATTTTTAATGATTTCCATGGAGATTTTCAAGGTAATTCTGGAAAGAATTCAATAGGCTTTGCAAGGTTAACTATGCAAATTTCCACGCTTATAATGAGTAATGGTAATTAAGAGAATAATTCAATTAGCGTTAAAGTTACTATAAATGAAAAAAATGATATCCATTGGGATTGAAAGGAGATACTCAGAAGTATTCCTAAATAAATTCTGAGCAACATTTCAAAGGAACTCAGAGGTCAATTCAAAATATAATTCCATGGAACTTCTGACCAAAATTTCAAGAAAATTAACGAAAAAGCATCATAGAACTACTACTGAATTGAATTTTAATAAAATTGCGATAGTAGATATTCCAGTATTGACCTCACATATGCAATATACCAAGTAGCATTTCTTGTTTTATTGCACTCTATTAGTGGTTTTTGAGATAAATTTTATAAAACCGTCATTAAAATTAATAGCTCCAGCACAACCTTTTGATAACCATAATATCGTCTTCCAGCTTAGTGGACCACTCTTGATAAGGTTTATAAAGCATGTTTGAGAATCACAATAAAGCTGTCTTAAAACCTTTTGTAAGAAAGCCCCATACTCTACAAAAGGTTCTCATAGTCTCTTTAAGAGTAATATTGTATCCAAGCAGTTTTATTACGCTTTGGTGAAAATCAGTTATAAATCCAATTTAATTTTTATTGCATCAAAGCAACCGCCATAAATTTGCTTGTTGTTGTTCTGTTCTGCTGAAACTTTTTTTTTCCATATGGTAATCTTTAGCTGTAAAAATAGGTTTGAGTGTTGGTGTCAAGATCACCATGCAATCAATTTTGTTTCATGGCGACATTAGTGAAAATCTTAAAGAAAATATATGCCTTTTTAAAAGTTCCAACACATATACGCTTGAAATTTTATCGTGTATATTGGAATAATATGAGCGTTAAATTAATGCGCCTCAAAAATAATTCAAGTTAACAAAAAAGATTGTTTTAGAAATCAAATTAATTTGATGGAATCATCTTAATTTTACAGAAAATAGATCTCAATAAATAAAGTCACTGGAAATCAGTTCGGATCTCTATTTTAGCCATTATTTTATTGAAATTTCTTGGATTTTATTCCAAGGCTAATGGGATTTTCATAATGACAATATGGCGAAAGAGGACAGCGGGCTAGAAAAACACCAAGCGCGATTTCTTAAAATGTCAAATGCATACTTTTTTTTTGCTTTATTAGAGAGATTTTCCCTAATGCTTACATTGGATGGAAACAGAACAGAAAAGCATAATTTACAAGTGCAATTCATTTTTTTTTTTATTATTTGAGGGTAAACGTATATTCTTATTCTACGGGTGCAACCGATGAATTTTACAAACATTTGGAAAAGTTTTTAATTGCATATTAGACTTCATGAAAAGTTATGCGTGTTTTCATCTTTTTTGTCCTAGAACTGTCACCATTCCATGTATTTCGACCAAGATTCGACAGTGTCACCCCATGAAAAACAAGGAAAGAAAAGGAAAGAAAATTTTCAATGCTGATTGTTGCGGTCTAAGCCAGGGAAAAGAGGAGTAGAAAAAAAAAAAAAAAAAAATGCTGATTGTTGAATTGTTGTGACCATCCACGACTGTAAATCGGATAAGAGATGCAAGTTTGCATAGGTATCATCTTCCGACTCCAGATAATTATATATTTCCTCTTCATGAGTCATTTTTGGTGTAGCAATGTGTCCATTCGAAGTGAAGATGGTTCAGAATGGTGAGGAGGTACACTCTTTACAGCTTCCTTTGTGACATCCGCAGAAAATGCAGCGGCATTTTTTTTTCTTGGTTGGAGTTATTCACGAAGGTTTGCGGCTGACTGTAGCAAATAAACGGGCTCATGCTAAAATTATTGTTGATTTTCTTTGCGCTCCGCTTGAAAGTACCGGAATGTTTTGATTCTTTCTATGTTGTAAAAATAAATCGCCCATTTACACTTCTGAAGTTGCAACTGAACGCTTATAATTGTTTTTAAATAACTGTTTCATGGCCAACTAGTTTTATTGCGCTTACTTATATAGCAATAAATGGATTTATTTTTGGGTTTTATTCATATTATTCATATTGCTTTTTTTTATACTTCAAGGCAATCATAAAACCTTTCATAAGGGAAAATAGCATAAGCATCAGTTGGTTTTATTATTAGCTTTATAGGGGTTTTGTAGATAGCTATGAGAATGTTCCATGACTTGCATTGTATATGACCGTCATAAAGCTGTAGGCAATGGTTGCAGCTGCAATAAAACCTTAATAAATTTTGAATATAGCCAAGCAGCTCTAGATTTGTGTGGGGCCTCCCTTAGCTCAGTCGGTAAAGGCGCAGCTACAAAGCAAAACCATGCTGGAGGTGGCTGAGTTCAATTCCCGGTCTAGTCTAGGAATTTTTCGGGTTGGAAACTTTCTCGACTTCCCTGGGCATAGAAGTATGATCGGACTTGCCACACAATTATACCAATGCAAAAATGGTACAGACATCGAAAGCTCTCAATTAGTAACTGTGGAAGTGCTTCTAGAACACTAAGTTGAGAGCACGCAATAAGCTAATATGCGATATGCAATAAGCTTGAAATGCGAAGAAGAAGAAGAAAAAGAAGAAGAAGAAGCTCTAGATTTTTTACTTGGGATATAGTGTTTTAATTGTGTATGGGTCCTCAAAGTTACAGCAAAAGCGCTTGATAAAGCCTAGCATGTTATTTGCGCTGTGAATAATTGTGCTGTAATGGTCTATGAAAGTTAGTTTAGAGTCTAAGATGATTCCTAAATCCCTAACTCTTTCACATTTTTCTACATTTTGATTTCCTAGTGCAATTGAAATATTTGAAGTTGTTATTTCCTGCTAGCATTACCTTCAGGGAAGTTTCGAGATCTTCAGGGAAGTTCCGTGAACTTCAGGAAGATAAGAGATCTTCAAGGCAGTCTCACTAAGTTTACAAAAATTGTAGGAAGTAAGAAAAAGTTCTGATGAATGCAAGGAAATCCCGAGAATTTCAGAGAAGTTTCAAACATAAACTGTAGGAACATAATAGAAGTTCTGAAAACTTGGTGTTTTTTTTTAACTTCCATTAGCTTCAGAAAAACTTTGGGCACTTATAAAAAGTTTTGAGAATTTCAGGGATATCCATAGAGATTCAGGGAAGTTAGAGAAGCAGCGATAGCATGATGAAAAATTAGGAAACTTAAAAGAAGTTACAAGTACCTCAGAAAACCTGCTCTGGAAAACAAATCAAGGAAAAACACTACTTGTGAAACGAAAAACGTGAAACAATCGATAGAACTGTTTCCGCACATCGAAGGTACGTGAGCAAATCGCAAACTTTACTCGCTTTCTACTTTCTGTATACAATTTTCATACTGTCGTACTCTAACAGAACTATCAATTCTATACTTTCATCTCCTCATCTATCGTATAACATGGCCACTTTAAGTCTGATATTTGACGTTAAGCATCTCCAACTATGTATAAGAATTGTTCAAGAGTTTATGAATTGAGTAGCTAAAAATGATAAGGTGAGCGACTATGTTACAAAGTGAAGTTACAACGTTCTGCACTTGTCAACTACACTACTCAACAACAACTACTCACCAAAAAGTTTTGAGCTACTTAAATCATAAACTCTTGATCAATTTTTATTAAAAAATTAACGTACTTGCCAAATCTGAAATGACATTAAGGTAACATTTTTTTTCAGCTACGTAGAAAATACCGGCAAACCCGGTTGTAACGTTACGTAGAATGTGTCATCATTACTTTTACTATAATAGAGTGACACATTATAACATCACTCTTCAATTTTAGGTGGACAACGTTCGTTTACCATCTTGGCAATCGCAGCTCAAAGGATCTAAGGAATGGATACTGGCCCCGCCACCTGAGTGCTACTACAGTTGTAACTTCCTGACTGTTCTTGTCGAAACTGGAGACACCAGTAAGATGTTAAACCGATGAGCTTGAATGAAACGTTGCATTCTATTGAAATTCGCTTCCTTTCAGTTGTCCTCGATACGAATAAATGGTACCACAAGACGAACGTTCTTTCCGGCGAAATAAGCATTACCGTCGGTGCAGAATATGACTAAACGCAAACCTACCTGGATATGATAGTTGTTGCCGGCGGGAACTCAACTATGTCTTCTCTTATCTCGAGGTCATTGTAGAAGCTCACCACATGTGGCTCATTGTTCCGGAACATACATGACCCATTGGCCGAAGGCATCCGGTGATATAGCGGATCGTCGTCATCTGTCAAAACATTGGAAATATATTGATACAGACTCTCTTTGAAAGTTGGCATTTTTTCAACATACCACAATTCATCGATCGCCCTATCCATTGTCCATCCTCGCAGATGATCTTCCAGGTGGTTTGCTCTCCCGTTATGCTCACTATACAATCGAATGTAATTTCCGTTCCGGATGGGAACCCTTCCTCACTGTCATCGATCTGTTCACCATTCTTGTACACCAAGGACCCGTGTATCTTTCCAGGAGGACCACAATCTCGGCCATCATTTTCATCTTCTGAAGAGGTAACGTTGCTCCCATCCAGTACAATGATTGAACTACTATCATCATCGCGGGATTTTCGCGAAGCTATGTAGCCACAGTTTATGGTTTCCGGAGTAAGTGAACCAAGAGCGCAATCTGAATAAAGATAGTATATTTAAGCATTTTTAGACAATTTCATAGATTTACCGAGGGAATCAAGTCTTACCCATCTGTACGGCTGCCATGTTTCCCATGCCACTCTCACACTGTATCATCACCGAACTGCCATGAGCTATGGTCAGCCCTGCACGGTATCCACCTTGGTACATGGCGTGCATAATTGGCGGAAGAACGCATGGCGCCGGAAGGCACTCCGGAGTGGAACTCACAGCCCATTCACCATTCCAGCAGCGAAGATCTGATGGACCTTGAGTGTTGTAGCCATGATCACACTGGAATGTTATCATTTGTCCATTCTCTATCGTTTGCATCGGAGTAAGAGATGCCGCAGTCGATGGATTGGCAGCGTCCATGGTAACCATATCGATTGGACTAGAGTAGTACTTTCCATGCTCCGTTGATGGAACGAAACAAGGTTCTGAAAAAATAAGAATTGTAACAAGTTTGAAAATATATCCCCAGAGCAATTTACTCACTCATATTGCAGGTTGGCCTGGTCGGCTTCCATCGACCTCTTACGCACTTGGACGTCGCATTCGGACCCGCCATGTTGGAAACGAACCCCTTACTGCAGATCATTCGAATAATCGTTCCCGGACCAAAGGCTTCATTCGGGTCCTTACCGGGTCTCACAATTTCCAGCTGAGCATGCGATTCACTAACCAAAGGTTCACAAGGCCCCTTAAACTTGTTCTTCTTAGTTGGATCTCCATCCGTCCCGGTGGGATCAGTCTGATTAACAACTGCTCCGGAATTTTTACGGTTATTCTTCTGGGCTCTTCGAGTCTCTTCGACAGATGATACAGATATTTCTCTTGTGTCACGCTTACGGCGTATAATTTGCGAGTGCAGTTGTTGCATCAGCACTGCAGAAGATACCGGCTTTCGGTCAGCATAGCTGAAGTTGTGTGAAAGTGTCGCGTACAAGCTTTGTGGCTCGTGTGAGCGTCCTTGAACCTTCGGAGTTAACTCGGATGCAAATTGCCAATTGGTGTGCGATCTACCGGTCAATGGTGGAGGGAAGTAATTGGTGTAAATGTCATTCGCTGTTACGTGATTGGAAAGGTTTGCGTCTGGAATGTCATGGAAATCGTATTTATATGTCGATTTTTCATTGATGTCCGGTATCGCGATTGGAGGTTGCATTTTAGGTTTTACTCGTGATTTGTTGATTTTGGCCTTGGCCGACCGAGGTGCCTTGGTAGTGAATTCATCTTCAAAGTCATTAACTCCAGTTCGTGCCTTAGGAGCTACTCTGTTTCTGGAAATTGAGTCAGCATCATTTGTTTGCCATCTTCCATCTTGTACGTGAATCTCCTGCAAGGGACGCAATTTGTTGTATCCCAGCAAGTTCTGCACGTAGTTGCGATACTTGGCTTTTATACGCTCGTAGTATTTGTTGTAGGCTTTCTCTACATCGGAAAGTTCTCGTCGCTCGCGAACCAGAGCCGACTGGAAAGCGTTTCTCAGAAACGCATTGCGATTGGTTTCAACGCTTCGCTTGGCTCTGTATCGCTGAAAATCATCAAAGTTGTAATGTCTCTTGTGAGACAATTGTCCTCTGTATGCCAAAATGCTTCGCTTAGCTAGCTCGTGAGGCTCCATGGGGAACTGTCGATTGTATTCGTCATGTTCTTCGAGTTTCCGCTTTAAGAAGCGATAGTGTTGTTTGAGATGATTTGATCTGTGGAACCTTAATTTAAGATCGATCGATCGACGGCGTCTGTTCCACCGTAGCCTTGGATGTTGTCCAGGAATACATGTGGGAAGTTCCTTGGGACTCCATTTTCCTCCGATGCAGGTGGCACCTGGCGGACCGATTTCAATTACGTATCCTTTGTCACACTCGTACATGATTTGTTTGTTGTTAATGACCTTTCTCACGTAGGGTCTGTAGTCATACAGGCCCATATTACCCACTAGCAATACTTTTCCATTTGGAATATATCCAGGGAAAGCGCAATATACCTCCTGACACTGTGGGGTTTCTCCCGTCCAGTTTCCAAAAGAGCAAACCAATACATAATCATTGGGGTTCAATAGTTCTTTCCCTCCAGGCGCAGTCAGAGTGTAGCCGTCTTTGCATTTGAACCTCGCCCGCATACCATGTTCGGTTTTAGGAGCCAATACCATTCCAAACTTTGGAGGTTTCGGCATTGTCTTGCATCTAGCAGGAGCGCAACGAGGTATGACACTCCATGTACCGTTATTGCAGGTTGGCGGTGATAGCGACGAAAATGGGAATTCATAATGCTCATCGCAAATAACTTCTAATACAGTTCCATGCTTCACCTTGGAGCTGCTTCCGCTGGTCGGTACAATCGTTGTCAAGTTGACGTCCACTTCAAACTCGATTGGTATTACTTGACCTTGCGATATAGATGGCACCACGCAGGGAGCTAAGCACTGCGGTAACGGATACCGCCATCTACCGTCTATCTGGCAAACTGAAGAGGTGTTTCCAACCAGCAACATCTCCGGATGGCATCGAAAAATGATACTGGCACCAAGACCGGTTCCGCTTTCGATATTTTCCAGCCAACCATTGTACAATGTTCCCGGATGACCGCAGTTGATTTCTGCAGTTAATCAGAATTGCTATTAGCACATACGTTTAAATATTAGGGTGGGTCATCTTGATACTTTTTTTTCAAAACATTGTTTTTTTGATTCCACTTGCAATCCCAAACAACTGTGCAAAATTTGGGGACAATTGATTTTAACCCTGCTTTCCGCATTGCGTTTGAAATTTGTTTGGAAATTAATATGGGAAAACTTACTTTTTTTGCATTTTCATACCTAGGGACCACAATTTTGCTTGAACCATGCAAATAATCATGTTAAATTATAGTCCAGGCAGTGCCCAACCATTCTGCCGAAGAATGCATGGTCTCTAAAAAAAGTTCTAGCCGTTCAATGATCGATGTTTCTTATTAAATGCCAAAAAAAAAATTTCTTCCAACACTGCCGGTGTACTGAAATAATTTCGGAGTTTCTAATATTATCGATTTGATATGTTCAGCTTCAAACTGAAATAACCCCGGTGTTTCTCATCTAGTCAAGTCGGTATGTTCAGATGTGTTATGCAAAAATATTTGCTCAACATAATAGGCGTAGTCAGGCCTGGATTTGGGGGGGGGGGGCAAATTCCCTGGGCCTCCAGTAGAGGCCGGGCGGATATTTTCTGTAATTATAAAATTATCATATTTGTATGCTAATACAATTTTCTTTTTTTACTTTCACGTTTTACGTTCACATTAACATATGTACGTAAACATTAAGGTTCTTTAAGTTCAGTTCATAATTGATTTTATTTAAGAATATTGGACGTACCTGCATTGAACATCACTACTTTCGAATGAACCGTCTTAGTGATGGCATTGCAATGAACTTGAATGAAAAATGTACATCTGCGCCACCTCTCTATGTACCTCTTTGATTAAGTTGAACACGAAATGAATACAAATGAACATCCTCTACGGCTTTTTGACAAAGTGTGAGCAAGAGGGAAATAGATCAATGGGAAAATAATGACTCCATTGACGAGTGCACAGATGGATTTGAGTTCACTCACTCGACAAAAAGTGACACAACAGCGGGGCCCTGTTTACTAAAAATGAACTCATGAATGATGCTCACGTAACATTTGAAAAGGGCCTATCAACTTTTGTAAATAATTTGCTAGGTTCTTTTCACGAGAACCGAAGTACGCTCACGCAAACCAAGAGCACTATCGGGAAGGGGAGAATTTCCTCTGCCCGATGGTGTTATTAGTTTGCGTGAGCGTATTCGGTTCGCGCGAAAAAGGCTTAACAAGTTTTGTGTACATAAGTTTGATAGACCCGTTTCAAATGTTACGTGAGTATTATTCATGTGTTCATTTTTAGTAAACAGGGCCCCGCTGTTGTGTCACTTTTTGTCGAGTGAGTGAACTCAAATCCATCCGTGCACTCGTCAATTCATCCTCGTGTGCTAGTGAAAGAAGATTAAACGTCAGAAATCTCTTTACATGCAAAAAGAAATCAGCTCTCAAAATCAAAACAAAACATCGCAAGGGTTGGTTTAATTGCAAGCTGATTATTTTCCTGTGAGGTCGTGTTAAGTGTACTCGAAATAGTCTTTCAAAGAACTGCATTTTGCAACCACTCATAGGAAGGAAACATGAAAAATTAAGTTTAATATGCGTCATCCAGAGAATCTGGTTTATTGTTTTTAACGAAATAATATTATTATTTCAGCTGTTTTTTCAGCCATCTGGTGCTCAGAAGAGGACAGCTTCGAAGCCGAAAGCAGAGAAAGATGCAGCAGTGCTGGCTAAAACTCCACGTCTCTCGAAGTTTTTCAGCAGTGAATCAAAAACTGAAAAAGATCCCGTTGCTCCTATTTCGCCCGATAAACCAGCTGAAACACGTAAACAAGGTTTAGAATCTTCTGAGGTGGTTGCTGCCTTTCCAAAGTGTACTGAAAATGCTGATCAAATTGAAGCTGGGTCTTCGAAAACATATCATGGAACAATGTCCAGCGATCCTTCTACCTGTTTCCCAATCACAGAAAACCGTGTTTCTTTATTGGCTAAATCTGCAGTGAACCAAAATAAAAAGGAATATGACTCGTACCCGGAATCTCAACGCTGCTATCAACCGACCAACGGTTTTACTGGCAGTATTAATCGCTTTTTCAAAAACTCGATGTTTTACACCAGACACGACAACGGAGAACAGCGTTTGAGGAAATGGCTCATCTACAGTTTATCAAAAAGTATGATTTTGCCATTTTTTATCAATTCAGTTTAATAATTCATTACTGCCTCATCAGGCTCCGTTTACTGCTTCTACTGCACACTCATGACAATAAATCGCGATGCGTTTCCAGAGAAGAAGGTTTCAATAATTGGAAGAAATCGGAGGAAAAAATTAAAACACATGAGCAAGGTCAGCCACATCGAGAAGCGGTACAATTTGCGATGTTCAGAATCGAGTCACGTAGATAAGGAACTGGAAGCTCAGATAAAAGAAAAACGGTTGTACTGGCGAGAAATTCTGCGTCGTACTACTGCTTTCATTATCTTATTGGCGGAGAGAGGTCTAGCGTTCAGAGGAAGTGACGAGATTATTGGCTCCAAACACAATGGCAACTTTTTGGGAACAATGGAACTCATTGCTCAATTTGATCCGCTTTTTATGAGTCACCTAAAGAATTTTGGAAATCCTGGAAGTGGTCGGGAATCGTATTTATCATCCACTGTTTATGAAGAAATGTTGCTACTAATGGCAAAGAAGGTTCAAAGTTTCATCATAATGGAACTGAAAGGAACTCACTCATACTGATCAGCTCACAGTAATCTTGCGATATGTTGTTTCTGGCAGACCAGTGGAAAGATTCTTGACTTTCTTGCAGCCCAAATCTCATAAAGCAGGTGACCTATCATACACTTTGCTAGAATTTCTTAAAAATCAAGGAATTAATTTCGATGACTGTCGTGGACAGTCATATGACAACGAGTCATGGCTGGTCCCTATTCGGGAATGCAAGCTCGACTTCTTGAGAAGAATCCATCTGCTGTTTTCGTTCCCTGTGCAGCTCATTCGTTGAACCTAGTAGGTCATGCGGCTGTTTAGCTGTGTAGAAGCCAGGGCTCTAGATTTTCGAAGCTCTAAAATGAACTCGAGTTTTGTTTCTCTCATACAAAAGTGTTCAACGCTTCATTTCTATAACGCCTAGCTAGACTATCAGCAAAAAATGATAATGAAAAAGAAGCACGCTTAGAAGGAAACGCTGGTGCGAAACCGAACTTTTTGTCAGTGCGAACCTCAACCTGAGCTAGGTTTTAAAAACAAACGTGCAAACTGACGTTTGTCAGAAAACAAGCAGACCCAATCTTGATACCCGATCCAGGTTGGAACTGAATAATAAACGAATTCGCTATAAGTAACGTCGATTTTCTAGTTAAACGAAACCTCATTATGGCTTTCAATGCCTTTCACGAACACCGCTCTTTCAATTTGTTTAAAATGCGTTATGTCCCGTTTTCGTTAATTTTTTTTAGATAAATATGTGGATGGAAGATAAATTAAACATATTACGTGTAATCTTCAAGTGTTTTCACGTGAGAAATGCTTTAAATATGTAATTTCATTTTCCGTCATATACGTCATGAAACCTCTGTTGATGTGTTTCATGAAAGAGAAAACTATCAAAGTCGAGCGTTCTTTCGGTCATCCGTTTCACCGAAGCTTGAAAGGAAGACCAATGGAGCGACGGGAGAAAGAGAGACAAGCGATTGAACATTTGTTTGTGCACGCCGACTGAGGTTCTAGAATGCTGCGAAGCTGTTCGACTTTAACAGAAAAAGAAAGCTAGCAGTCTCTTCATCGCATCGATTTGGTCGATTGAAGCTGATATTGTGACGCCCTGGTAGAAGCTGTTGGTTACTTCAGCTTCGTTCAAAAACTGTATACATTCCTTTTTGCATCTACCTGGCGATGGAATATTTTAAACGAATTTTTGAAAGGCAATGAAAGGAAATTAACGGTTAAATCTCTCTCCGATACTCGTTGGTCAGCACGTGCCGATGCAACTGAAGCTCTCCTTGAAGGATATGGAAGCATTAGGAAGGCGTTGAGACATATTGAAGCTGCGAATGACCAATCTCCTGCAGCAAGATATGAATCGCGTTCACTAGCTGATAGAATGGATCTCCTCGAAACTGCTTTGATGACCAAGATCTGGTGTCGCATTCTGTTACGCTTTAACGAGACAAGCAAAGCAATGCAGGGCATCGATGTCGATTTGAAGAAGGTGGTTGATTTGTATGATTCACTGGATTCATTTTTGCAAGGAGAGCGAAATCGTTTTGGCGAAGTAGAAGGTGAAGCTGTCGCTCTTTGTGACACTGCGGAATACAGACCTACCAAAGGAAGACCACGGAAAAATCAACCCGAAACATCCAGTACATGCAAGGAGAACTTCAAGCGTCTTACATTTGACGTCATACTTAATCAACTTTCACAAGCATTACAAAAAAGGCGAGCAGCATATCAAGTGGTTCACGATATGTTCAAGGACATTGTTGATCTATGCAGGCTGTTGAAGCTGAAAAGTTAGTTGGCATGTATCCGCATGATCTGACAAGGCTACTTGCTGATGAAATCGTACAGTTTGCAGCATTTGCCAAGATTAGGGCATGTCTAACAGCATCTACACAGGCTATACTGCTGAACGATGAAGAGTTAGCTGATACATTTCCGAACGTATACATTGGTCTGCGAATGTATCTGAGTTTGATGGCTACGAATTGCTCAGGTGAAAGATCGTTCAGCAAATTAGCTTTGATAAAAAGCAAACTGAGGACATAGATGGCTGGCAAAAGACTCAGCTCTCTTTGTTTACTGAACATCGAAAGAGATGTTCTAAAGACGATCAATTTTGAAGAATTTATTAAAGATTTTTCAGAAGCTAAATGAAGACGTCAGTGCTTCATATAAGTTTCTTAATCCTTTTATTATTTTGTATTATTTTATGTACATTGAAACAAAGAGAATAAACGCAACTTCAAGCAACTGTGACACTTTTTTTTTTGAACTTAGAAAGGTTTTGGGGGCACCGTATCTTTTATCAATGATCTTCTGATTTTTTTAATACAAATTAAACCCGAATATTTGAAATTAAAACTTCGAAAACAGTTTACATTGGGGCCCCCCAAAGATATTTGCCCCGGGCCCCCCGAGTCCTAAATCCAGCACTGGGCGTAGTTGTATATGGGGTGGGGGTTTACTGTATCCCCTAGACCAGCGCTGCCCAATGTGCGGCCCTCGGCAATGGCATCATTCTAGCCCAATTTTATTCATCATAATGAATTTCAGCCCAGCATGAATGAGAAAGAAACAAAATGCAGCTTGAAACAAGTTTTGAAAGGTTCGGCAGGCTTGCTCTAAACCTTCTCACTTACTATATGTCAATGGAAGTAAAGTTACAGACTGAAATAACTTTAGAGTTTCCCAACTTCTCGAGTTGGTATGTTCAGATGGGTTATTCAAACACATTTGCTCAATCCCATGCAGTGATGGCAGAAAGGGTGATTGTTGGCATTTAATTCAAACCATAAATATTTGAACAGTTAAAACTTATCCTAGTACCGTACATCCTTCGGCAAAGTTGTTAGGCACTTACTGGGCTATATTTTTACATGGTTTGTTGCATGGTTCAAGCTAAATTATGGTCTCTAGAGATGAAAGTGCAAAATGGTAGGTTTTCCCATACTAATTTCAAACGCAATGCGGAAAGTCGGGTTACAACCAATCGTCCCCAAATTTTGCACAGTTGTTTGGGATGGCAAATGGAACCAAAATGGGTCATTCTCGCTTGATGAGGTCATGTTTGCCTTTTTTTTTCATATAACGGTAACCCACCCTGCATACGAATTTTGTGAACAATGTACCTTTACAAGCCGGTAGTGTTCCGGTCCATCGTTTGTCCGCGCCGCAGCGTCGAGAGCTTTCTCCAACCAGTGTATAACCATAGCGGCACTCGTAGCTTACTACTGAATTGTATGAAGTGCTGGTGTAGATAGCTTTGCCATTTTTCGGATTCTCGGGCGATGGACATTGAACCGAAGTGACCACTGGAATCGAAATGTTGTGGGTTATTTTGGTGTATAGTTATAATCATGTTACCTGTGAAATTTCACTAGAATAATGCCGTCAATTTGCTTACTCAAGGCAAAGCTTTGATCTAACAGCTAAACAGTGTTCAAAACATATGCGGATACAGAACCAAATATACGTGAATACTAGGGGTATTCACACAACGCATCGTAAACGTGTAAGCCCTCGTAAATGCATAAACTCCATTATACATAAATGGTCCATGTTATATTAACCATTGTGTAAATGTTTATAATGCGCTATGTGAGTACCCTTACTATCTTAGAAACTAACTTGTACTAACTGAACTAACTACAAACAAGATGTACTGAAAAGGCAAGAGTGGAGCATACTCACGATGTGTTTGTTGGAATATCATTAAAACAAAGCCTCATAATTCCGGGAACAGTGCCCTCTTTCTAATAGTGATGGTTACGCGAAATTAAATTCTTACAGAGTAACGTTAATATGATAAATTTGCTGTAAGTGAAGTGTTTTTGGATGTTAAGATACTTTAAACAACATTTGCTGACTCAATAGGCCGCACAAGCAACACACAAGTTCTATAACAGTTTATATATCCTTTGTATGACTGTTTTTGGTTGTAAAGAAGTTTACTCGACCTAATTTTAAATGGACATGCCGATTTTTGCAATTCTTATTATTAGCGATGGTGCATAGTACTGAGAAAGTTTCACAATTTTATAATATCGTCCTGCTTGTTCGATTTTGATTTGAAAATTTAATAAAGAAATCTCACTTTCTCGATATGGAAAGAATCACTTTTGTAGGATTTGGAAAAAAATTGAACTGTTTTAAAAAACAAAAATAATCCATACCCATCCATCCAATGCAAAAAAAAAATTGAGAAATATTTTTGTTTTTTCGCCCGCTTTTCTAAGTACCGTATGCGTGATAATGTATGCACTATCGTACAAATAAGGTTCCCGTTTCACCTGTGCATACAAAGCCTTGGTTTTCTTTGCATGCACGTAACCTATAGCTCATACCGTAGTAGGCTGTGTATAAAAGAAAATGATTTACTTAGTTTGACAGTTGCACCATGACGAGGTGGCAGCGTATTCGTGATTTGTCCCACGCGCAAATGTCACAAAAAGACATTTCAATCGGCGTGGGAGTGTCCCGGTGGACCGTCAAAAGGGTTTTAGACCGAGAAAAGAAAGGACAACTATCCGCGAAGGTGGCCACAGGTCGTCCGAGGTCAGCTCGTGTTCCGAGGGTTATCGCTGCTATCAAAAGGAAGATTCGAGTGAATCCAGTGCGTTCAATATAGAAAATGGCAAAGGAACACGGGATCAATCACTTTACGGCAGATCGTAAAGGAAGATTGCGGGGCGAAGTCGAGGGCACGGAAAAAAAAACTCACATGATTACCAACCGCATGGGAGCTACTAGTCGAACGATGCAAGAAAATCTTGAACTTCTTTAAGCGAAAAACTCCGGTAATCCTGTTCACCGACGAAAGCATGTTTACCGTCGATCCCGTATGAAATTCCAGAACCTACAGGTATATTAGTTCTCTTCCGGTAAAAGACGTGGCCGACGAGCACAAGAACGTGTATCTGACCAAGCATCCTGCTAGCGTTATGGTGTTTGGATTGGTGGCTTCCGATGGCAAAAAAAATGGACCCAGTGTTCATTCCAGAAGGCGACAAGGTCAACACGGAGGTCTACATCGGGATTTTAAGTAAGTATGTTCTTGCGTGGATCAAAGAACAGTACGGTCTGAAGCCAAATGTTGTATTTCAACAAGATGGGGCTCCGTGCCACACCTCGAACCGCACTCAGAAGTGGTTGCAGGAACATCTTCCGTTCTGGGCGAAGGATATGTGGCCGCCATCCAGCCCCGATCTTAATCCGCTGGGTTACTCAATATGGTGCGTCATGAAGGCCAAGGCCTGTTCTAAACGCCACCCGAGTACAGCAAGCCTCAGACAAACATTGACCCGTACCTGGAGAGAAATGGATCCAGACTACATTATTAGAACCTGCCGTGCATTTCGGAAGCGTGTGGAGGCCGTAATTGCAGCAAGTGGAAACTCGATCGATGATTAACATAGTTTAAGACTCTGAGAAACATCCCCCTTTGAATAAGTAAAAAAAAACTCGAGAATTTTTTTTAATTGTGACATTGCTCAATGATGCAAACATTATCACGTATACGGTAAAAGAACGCATTTTGCTCGCCTACTAGTTTTATCGTTTTTTTTTTTTTTTGCAATTCCACATCATAATAAATGTTATCCGTGATGCGGTAGAGTAACATTATGGCCAATTTTTTCTAACTAAAATCATCGTGTCAAAAAGTAACTTTTGCGCATTGAAAAGTGTGCCCAAAAATATAACTTAAAAATTGTGAGGAGCGTGATTACCTCTCACCCCAGCAGGCCTGTGTTCAATCCCAGTCGGCGCCGCCGGGATGTTCTGAGGCATAACATCTCTGATTACGCCTTCCATCGGGAAGTAAGGCCGTTGGTCCCCGGTTCACGAGGTGGGCCAGATGTGGGAGCTGCTTCCCTGGCGTCGGTAGCAATGGTACTCAGCACGGAAAATAAGATCGACGGAAAACAAAATCAAGGAAAAAAAAGAAAGTTGTGCTTTCTCGAAAATCACGAAAAATATAAAATGCTCCCTTGAACCGAGGAGTGCTGGGATCGGCACAATAATTTGGATTCATAAAAATTAGACCAACATAAACATATCCTCCAAATTTGGTCCAAACCGGAAGAGGATAAGAACAATTTTGAATTTTGTTTCTCGATCACTTGGCATGGAATGACCCATATGGGGATTGGGACAATTGGGGTTGACATAGAATATCTCCGTAAAATGCCATAAAAAAGTTACTGCCTTCATCAATGTTGTTCTGGTGATCAAGTCCCTTTTGTTGGTGGATAGATAAATCTCGAATTTACTCACGTTGCGCTAGTGTATATGTCAATTCGCTGTCAAGAATTGTGCTTTGATCAGTACTGATTGATTACAGTACATCGCACAGAGGAATACTGAGAGCAAAAATCTGGCCAATATTCAAAAACATTAAAATGTTTAAATTCAAACCTATATAGCTTCAGTTTGTGGTGTACATCATGGCGGATAACTTGACAGTTAGCTTTAGAGAAAGTACTATCTTTACATGCAGTACCAGGCCATGTAAACACGATAATACAACTTGGTAGTAGCTGCTGTTTTCTCGGTGTGGATCACGCGTTCGGTCGGTCGCTTGTTTTGACTTCATAAAAGTAAGTGCGAGACTGTCCTTGGGTGAAATTGCCAATATAATCAAAACACTGGTCGTGAATTCTGCTGAGATGGAAGCAAATTATCGGCTTAAGTGGGAAAAGTCTGCGTGTTAAGTTAGTGCTAAATTAATTTCCCATTATGCTGATGGGACGGTAGTAAATGTACATATCTCTGATAACATTTGAAAACGGCACACAAGCTTATGCAAGGTCCTTTACACCTGAACCGAAGTACGTCCACGCCAACCAACAAAGGTAAATAAAGGGTCTAACAACTTTTGTTTACAACAGCTTTTGTGCGGTTTTCAAACGATACGTCTGATATGTCGTCTACCAGCGGCAACATTCAATACGTGTGAGTTTATGATTTGCCACCGGAAGTCCCGATTGGTATTGGGGAAATACGGAACTGTGAAGCGAGTCGTCCGGGAGAAATTCTCTGCGGCACTGGGCCTTGACAGGCACACTCGTATACGCGGTGTGTTAATGGACGTGAAAAAGGCGACTCCGTCCTCGCTTCATTTCCTCAATTGGAAGGAAAACATATATTATAAGGATGATAAAAATGCTTGTTATTTATGTAAGTTGGAGGTGCAATGAATGAAGCCTGTCCCAAACGTAAGGTACAAAAGCAGCGAGAAATGGAAAAACCGAAGGAAGGACAAAAACAGAACGTAGTAGCAGTTCGTGCTCTCTTGCCGAGTGGATCTGTTTGCTTTTTGCTGAAGGAAGTTTTACTGCTACCTAAAGCTACAACAAATTTAAACAGCACTTTTCCGTGCTCAAAAACACCGCTCATGCAATAATGCCCAAAGCAATTCCAATTGTATATTTTGTTTGATGATTGTTCTGCAGCTTATTACACTATTCAATATCCAAACAGCCCAACATGCTTTTCTTCAGCAACAACTGATTCATGTCAACTTTGAAGTCATGCAGGCTGCGGTTCTCATCACCTTTCAGTAACTTTTGAAATAACCCAAGAAATAATTTCTAATCCCACAGCTCTACTTTCAGTTAGCATTGAGCTGATTTGGAGCAATATCGCACATTTATAGAATATAACTTCGATCCAAATATTCCTTTGCAAACCAAAGATGGCGCAAACTATGCTCTTGATTCTCTGAATACTTCTATAATTGAAGCCAGAGCTGCCTCAGTACCAAAATGCGAGGCTACATTCGATTTAATTATAATAGACGACTATCTTCAGCTCTTGATCCGTTTGCAAAATGTCCACAGGAGGCATTACCAACACGCGATCGTGCCATGAAAGTTATCTGGCGGGATTTGCAAAAACAAATGAAAAGCAATTCTCTGCCCTGAGGAACAATACTTTTGAAAATAATGTTTCTAAATTAGACGCGAGTTCCAAACCCATTTGGAAGCTTACAAAAAATTAAAAAATAAACATCAAAAGCCTATTCCAGCGCTCAAAGAAGGTGGGAACATTTTGATCACAAATTCTGAAAAAGCTCAGAAACTTGCTAAGTAATTCGAGAGTTCTCATAATTTTAGTTTGGGTCTTACTAGTCCTATTGAGAATCAGGTTGCTCGGGTCTATCTGAATATTTTCTCTCGTTAAAATATTTCAATGATTTCTTTTGGATGAAGTGAGATCTATTACTAAAAAATTTCATAATATTAAAGCTCCAGGTGATGATGGAATTTTCTATATTCTCTTCAAAAAAATCCTAGAGAGTACCTTGTCTTTC